ACAGGCAGTTTGTCAGCTCACGTCTTCTGGAGTATGGGAATGTGTGTGTTCAATGGGCTATGAAGGAGATGGAAGCATATGCTATGGAAATGCAGTAGATGTAAGTAGGAAAAGCCTAAATGGTCTGCCCTAAGTCTTATCTAAATTCTGGTCAGTACTTAGTACTGTATATAGTATACAGAGACAACAACAGAAATATTTTGCAAGCCAAGCATGAGCAGCGTTGACATGGCAGGATGCGTATCACTGCTGCTATCCCATCAGAAATCACAAGCACCCTCTGCACAATCACAATTTCTTGCAGAAATTTAGTATACAAAGATATGTAATATAAAGCATCAATTGTGAAGAACTATCTGTTCAGCATTTGGTCAAGATCTAATATTTTGATATTAGATCGAATCCATGCAATGGAGTGGGCTCCTGTCACTTGTCCCAGCTCCTGCCAACCTAGCAGTTCAAAAGCATGTCAATGCAAGTAGATAAATAGGTACCACCTCAGTGGGAAGGTAATGGTGTTCCGTGTCTAGTCGCGCTGGCCACGTGACCACGGAAACTGTCTACAGACAAACACTGGCTCTACGACTTGGAGCATTACGGCCTGGAGTCGGACACGGGTGGACTAAATGTCAAGGGAAACCTTTACCTTTACCTATCTGTTCAGCATTTGGTAAAGGTGGCATTGACTTTCCATTGAAACTGGATTCTAGTCTTGATTATGGGATAAAATTATCTATGCATATGGGGATTTACTGATCCAGAGATTTCCAGGATTTGCTAGTGGCTATGCACAGGAAGACCTCTGCACAAATGCATCAGTATGATATAGTGATATCTGGAAGCCTGCACCTTGCCTACCTCTGCACTAGAGACCTAGAAGTGTTTCCAGTCTATCTCATATGCTAAGCCTCACTTGATTATGATATAATTGTCAAAGGATTCTTCTGCCTATGCTAAGGACTAACAGCCAGAAGGCTGTCTTCCTATTTCTATTTCTCAACATAAAAAAGGAAGTCTTAGTTGGTTTCACAAAACAAGCCCCCTTAGTGAGTTATGGATACTGCCCTTCCAGCTCATTTCATACATAGTTGTACACATGAAACAAGAACATATCTAAAGAAAAATATTGTTATGGAATTAGCAACTGAAATAAAGTATAATACAAATAGAACATATTTTCTGTCATTTCTAACATATTCATACAATACAACATGATGTAACCTGAAATTCCTTTCTTTGGATTGGAAATGCCAGGGATTACTGTAAAACGGTGACCTCCTTTCTGTACTGGCTCAATGTCTTACCTACAGACTTTTCTCTTAATTCAGGAATTATCTTCTATGTCAGAAGCAGCTGAATTTAATGAGTGGGTTCATGTGAGTATATCTTATAAATAAGTAAATATTTGTATATGTATTTATGTACATGTGTATGCATATATGTCCAGGAACACCCTGGGTTTGTGTTGATAGGTTATTTTTATGCTCAAAGCCAACTAAGTATTAAAATATTATATTATAGGATTAAAATATATCATACATGCAACTATAATTAAATATGTCAACAATCTATAAGGAATAGAAATATTACAGATAAATCATGCTAATAATTCCTAAAATGAAAAGCCATAACAATATCCAAAATGAAGTATTTAAAAGGGGCAGCAGGCAAATGAAAAACACAGGCAGTTATAAATTCAGTGATAGACAATATCAGCAGAAGAACAAAGTAGCCAGTTATTTATGTAGGGATGTAATTTAGTCTGCAATCCTATGCATACTTGTTAGTGAGGAAATCCCACTGAACATAATGGGACTTGCTGATTTCGCAATAGATATATGTAACGAGTGCCATGCATGTTTCTTTTGGCAATTAACTCTACAGTAAGGTTGCCATGAAGGAACAGGTCCAGTGTTGACCCTTTACATGAGGGACTCAACATGGAAAAAGACCTCTATAGTAATATATCAATAACATGGTATTTTATCCTGTGATTCATTCAGACAGCTGCAATAAAGACCCTGCTGACAGACATGACAAATGTAACCATTCTTGTGCCTTCTCGCCAAGCAATTCAAAATATGGATCATGATGAGAAAGCTTTCTGGATGTCCAAAGACAATATCCCAGCCCTAGCAAAGTATGCTGTGTGTTTCTTTTTATGATCATTATTCTGTTTATAATGTATGTCTGCATGGTTTTGCAAAGTGCTCTAATACATTACAGGAATTATCTCTTTAATTCTTAAAATAGCTTTGTCAGCTAGAGAGGTAGTGTTGCAATTTGCACATGAGGCGTTAGACCTGAAAACCATTAACTCAGAAAACTAAGCCCTTCTGTATCAATAAACCATTTTCCAGTCCTTGCTCTACATCCTATAATGGATTGTTTTTGTCTCCTCCCCACTTTTTAAATATATTTTCAACTGTGTTTTGGTTAAACATAAAATCCATCATTGTTCGCTTATTTAATAACAATGCAAAGCATATATCCTCTGACAATATTCCCATTTCAAATTCAGAGAAAACAACTTTGATCTTGTAAGTAAATGTTGTTGTGTGGCTCTTTCTCTGTACTTCATACTTCATTCTACTTAATTCTATAGATTTCTTCTAAATCAGTGGTTCTCAACCGTGGGTCCCCAGATGTTCTTGGGCTAAAATTCTCAGAAGCCTTCACCACTAGGATTTCTGGGAGTTTTAGTCCTAGAACATCTGGGAACCACTTGGAAGATGGAATGATGTGTAGGTGTCCACTGATATCCCAAGCACTACAAAAATACCCAGCATTATTTGGGCATTAAAGTAAAACAGTAGGCTCCAAGAAGCAAATTCTATATTTATACCAGTACCATTGAAATCTGCATGTATTCTTCCATGTATAAGACTATACTTTTGTCTAAAATGTTTAGACTAAAATTTGAGGGTCGTCTTATACATGGAAGTAAGCTGAAGAGGGGAAAAATAAGTGGAGGGGCAAGCAAGGATCAAAGTGATTCTGGGGCTTTGATCCCTGCTTTCCTCTCCACTTGCTAAGCCCCACTTAGATTTCTTAATTTTGGGTTAGAAAAGTGAGGGGCATCTTATACACGGAAAAATACAGTATATCTGGGAGCCACTCTGGTGGATTCAGTTGCATGATATGATGATTACCCAGATGACATGGAACATGACCTTCTCAGGATAATGAACTCCACCACTCGCCTCACTCATACAATCTACCAGTGGCTAAGCAGATAACAAAAGAAGTTCCTATTATGTTACTGACAATGTATGATTTGTTCTGGTTGAAACTGTGCAAGAATCACAAGTATGCCTTTTAATGTAGAAATAAGTATAGTTAGCCATATAATTAGCCCAAACTTTTACACACCCATTAAACTCAACTGTTGTTTTCATTAGGCATCATATTTTAAAAGGAGCATACACAGTTGCTGACCTCCAAAGCCTGTCATCATCAGAAGGACTGGCAACATCTTTGCTTGGCAACTTCTTGTCACTATCCAAAAAAAGTGGAGTAAGTTTACTAGTATGCTATATCCCCATCACCCTCAAACTGTCACCTGGAAACCTGGAGAGTTACTGTAGTTGGCACTATACTTAATACCAAATTAAATGGACCAACTGTTTCACTTTGAATATGAAAGGCAAAGCCATCTTGCTGCCCTGTAAAACTCTATGAAGAAGGCAGGGTATAAGACTGCACAGTATAAGACTTCCTGTGTTCTTATCTAGCAGGCTGTTTGATTAGAGGCTGATAAAACCGTAATATCAAAGCTATATCTTTGTGCCTTCCTATTCAGAATCTCTCTGTTGATGGAGCCAACATTGTAGCTGGTGATATCGCAGCAACAAATGGGATTATACATGTAGTTGATAAGGTATTTTCCTCCTTACTGTAAGTAGTACTGACATCAGGATTTTAAAAGTATATTATTATTTTCAAAATTAGACTAGCATGTTTCCTCTCTCCCTTTCCTACTTTCTTTAATATGCATTCTTATGAAGACTTCTCAAGAACCCATGTTTTGGGACTAAAACCCCTAGAATAAACCAGCCAGAGTTTTTGGCAGTGAATTCTGCAGCGAGGTCCAATGTTGACCCTTTTGTTAGATAAGAATATTTCCTGATTATAGATTTTATGGTTGTTATGGTTGTCGTGGATCAGCACAACTATATTTGTTTTCTGTGAATGAAGAGATATACACAGTAAAATAACTATGGGATTCTTTAACTTAAAACAAATGCCCATTACACTATACAATTTTATAAGAAGAGGGTTTTTTTTCTTTTTACAACTCTTTATATTTTTTATAGTTATAAGAGCTCTTTCAACTTGTGGTCAAGTAAGTCTTCAGAGTTGTGTCTGAATATGAAAAGTCCTGGCATGCTTGGAATTTATAGGAATTTACAATTTTGCTAAATTTGTGCAAATTACTTTGTCTCTTGAATAAAATAATTCATAAAATAATAAAGTAAAAATAATTCAAGGAGGTATCTCTATTAGTTAGTTTCAGCATATGCCACAAAAACAAAAATATTGTGGTGGCATTTAAAACTAACACATTTATTTCAGTGTGCACTTTCATATATTATAACCTTTTTCTTTACACATGAGGATAAAAATATTTAGTCGCAGATTTATACTGTGTAGCAAGTGTACATGGTTGTGGGGTGGGGACCAAGTGAGCAGGGACCCATTTAATATAATTTCCAAAGGTATTTTTTATTTTATTCTATACACCTTATTATTACACCTTAGTATGCAGTAACAGCAGTACAAGTTGTTTCAAACTGGCCTTGTGTATTTGTTTCCAGGTTCTGACTCCTCTCAGAGGAGTAAGTGGTGCACTGCCCAAACTACTCCCCCGCTTAGAACAGATGCCAGATTACTCCATTTTTAGGGGCTATATTATCGTAAGTATTCCTGAAACAGCACATCATTATATCAATGCATTATTACTTCTGAAACAGCACATCATTACATTTTGTCTTTGTTTTTCTGCAACAGCAATATAACCTGGAAAATGAAATAGAAGCAGCTAGCACCTACACCATTTTTGCCCCAAGCAATGATGCCATTGAAAATTATCTCAAGAATAAAGGCTCTGCTTCTCTGGTATGCATTGGTTCCCAATATTTTTATGAGTGTGTATCTGCAGTGGAGCTTTAAAAATCACCTCTTTAATGGTTGTTGTAGGATTTTCAGGCTGTTTGGCAATATTCTGCAAACAGCCAGAAAAAGCTACAACAATCATTGGATCCTGCCCATGAAAGCCTTCAAGAATACCTATTTAATGCTTCAGGACAAAACTAGAGTTTCAAAACACATAACGGCTCGCTAAAAGGGTCAGGAGACTAGGAGGTGCAATGCACAATATCCTTCAAATGTGATTTGTATATTCATGATAATTCTATTCTTTTTTCTCTTTCATGCTAATGCACCATGGACTGACCCAAGAGACTGAGTCAGTTGCAAGAATCAGATGCATTAAACATGCACATTTGAGCCATCTTTCAGAGAACCAACAATATAATGACACCTGGGTGTTGGGCTGAACTTGACACCATCAGTCAAGAACATCAGTGCCTAATCATCCATAAAATTTCTCTGACTTGCTGATGAATCATACTCAGAGAAAGTCATTATTTAACAAACACAGTTTGTTCTATAATTCATTACAAAGTCCCCCAAAAGCCAACCTTTTGCCTCCCATTATATCATGTTACATTTCTCATTTCATTATTTATTATTCTTTCATTACATTTTAATTCCTTTTCCCCAATCCATTTTCCATGAGAGGATGGCCTGACATTTGAAAAATCATCTCAATACACTAAAAAAGCATTTTCTTCATTTTTTAATTTATTTATTTATTTATTTATTCATTCATTCATTCATTCATTCATTCATTCATTCATTCATTCTACAGTATTTATATCCCGCCTATCTGGTCATTGTGACCACTCTAGGCGGCCTACAACACATAATACAACAATAAATATAAAAAGAAATTATTAAACTAAATAGCCAGTTCTTCAAGATGGAGAAAAAATGAAAAATAAATCACAAAAGAAGAAGAGAAAGGGAGAGAATCAAAGATTAACTGTAGGGAAGACCTGCCTAAACATCCATGTTTTTAATTGGTTTCCCAAAACATGATAGGAAAAAATAACAAGAGAATATCTAGGGATGGGTTTTTTTAGGTTTCTTGGATTTCAGATCCTATAATTCTCTATTTTGGGAGTTCTACCAGACAGACACCTAAATATGGTTCACCTGGAAGAAAGGCCTCATCTTTAAGGCTTTGAGGCTTAGCTAGGCCTAGCTCCACCCAAGCTTCTTGTTCCATGCACAGGGTTAGCTGGGAGCTTTCTTACTGAATGGGAAGCTAGGCAGAGTGAGGCCTAGCTGTCTTCCAGTTGAAGCCTCTCTCCCAAGTGAGCCATATTTAGGTGTCTGTCTTTCAGGTAGAATTCCTAGAATACAACATTATAGGATTAGAAGTCCAAGAAATCTAAAAAATAAATTTTATTCTTTACATGCATGAATGTAGCAACTTTGTCTGCAAAAAAAGAGAAAAAACCATTTTGCAAAAGCTGTCGTACTCTCATTACCCCCAAACTAATCTGGTATAGATAATGTTGTGTCTTGAGACTTGTGGTGTGTTAATTTGAAGCAAAGGTGTGCACGGTTGTACCTTGGACTACAACTTCCAGCATTTCCAGGCAGCATGGCCAGTGGTCATGCCGCTGAGGATTTCTGGGAGTGATAATCCAAAAATTAAAAAAAATGTGCACACTTCTACTTCAAACTCTGGTCATGGCTCACTTTTTCTAACAGAGGAAGGAACCTCTAATCCAAGGGCCTAATCTAAGTCGGCAATTTTCTACACTACTCCAGGGAGCATCCAGTGATCGGAGATAGCAGGGCTCTTTGTTTGAAATGCCACCCAGCTTTTGCAACAGCCAATGTTTGCAAGTCAACCTACGTTAGCTAAACTGCTTAGCACACATTAATTTAACCTGCAGGATGAAAACCAAATCCAGTACCACATTATACTAGAGGAGAAGCTCTTGAAGAACGATATGCATAATGGGATGTTCAGAGAGACCATGCTTGGGCTGTCTTTCAGAGTGGGATTCTTCATCCACGATGAGCAGGTGCTGTATATAAAACCAGATTACTCTATTTGTCACTGTAGTTTACATACCTAACTAAACGAATAAAAAAATTTAGATTTGCTTAATTGACTGCACTGGGAGAGTTTCCATGGAGATACAGGATCTTAAGTCAAGCGCACCTAAGGGCTGCAGTGGTGTTAGTGTATTTACACATCCAACTAATGAGACCACTCACTGTAGGTAAACATTAAATATTTGTATTAAGTACTGAACTAAGTACCTCAATTAGAATTCAGTCACTAGAACTGAGAAAGAATAAAAGCATTAATTTCTGACCTTAACTAGAAATCACCTATTTTAAGATCCCTCTTTTTATTTTTGCAAGGCTTCAATTCTGAATAATACCCAGTGTGGTGCGGTGCAAAGAATGATGGACTAGGACTGTAGAGACCAGGATTTGAACCTTCGCTCAGCCTGGGAAACTCATGGGGGTTGGGGATGAAACTAGTAAAACCACTTCTTAAAATATCTATCATACCTTGAAGGGCCTATTAAGGTCACTATAATTCCCTCCCAATAGCATATAACAACAACAACCATTTTGAATACGATGTTCTAAATCAGGGGTGTCCAACCTTTCACCTTCCCTGGGCCACACTAGGAGATGAAAATTTGGTTTGGGCCGCACATACATTTGTTTTGGGCCACATGGGGGGGCAGCCCTAGCCGTCCTCCGCAGCCCCGCTCCAAGCGCGCTTACCGGCAGCTGCGCTCTCAGACAGCAGAGGCTGCCAGCTTCAACTCCGGCGGCTTTATGGGGCTGGGAGGAGGTCCACCTATTGACGGGGATGGCACAATGCAGTCATGCCGCCCCCTTGTTCCCTCCCCTCCCACTACTTCCTTCCTTCCCTCTCTCCCCCTCTACTGTTGTGACATGCCCCGGCCACATTCCGGCCGCAAGCGCCGGCAGTGTAACTTGAAACTTCGAAATTTCTTTAAAAATAAAAAATTGCACTGGGCTGCATTACGAGCTGACTTGGGCCGCATGCGGCCCTCGGGCCGCAGGTTGGACAAGCCTGTTCTAAATAAAACTTCTTCAAAGTGAAGACAACTAAAATGTAACAGGTTGGTCCCAAACCTTTGCAATTTTGTTATGGGGTTGCATACATAAGAATTAGTCATTCACTTAGTTTGAGAAAGAGGAAGAAAGAAGTAATGTTTGGTGGGGGAAAGAGTCTGCACTCCCCAAAACAGGTGCATAACCACATACAATTGTTACAGAACAATATACAATGATGTGCAGATAAGCCACGTCTGGCATGGAGTTTAACCATATGCTTAGTGATAACCAAGGTCTAAACTTCCTGGGGAAGTGCAGTGATTTAATCTATAGTTTGTGACCTGGCAAATTTTCACTTCAGTGTTTCCCTGTGCACCTTTTTATATTAACTACAGAGCAAACAAACCTTACCAGCAGAGTAAGATATGTTTGCTCTATAAAAATTATACGAGCAATATTGTGTAAAACTTATTGATTTAAGCATGCCTCCCTGATATGTTGTCAACTAATAATATTCTGTGTGTAGCTCTACATAAATGAGGCACCTATAAATTACCCAAATGTCGCAACCGATAAAGGAATAATTCATGGACTAGGAAGAGTAATGGAAATTGAGAAGAACAGATGTGATATTAATGATACTACAGTGATAACAGTAAGTTATGTACTTCTGTGTATGTGTTCATATTTACAATTATTTTTAAAGGGTTAATATGTTTTGGAAATATGTAGGATTGGATCCAGACTTAGCCATGGTTTGTGTGGGTTTACTGAAACCCATTGGAGTTAACTTAGTTATGACTGTTTTGTGGTCTATGCTTATTATCACTGTCATGCAAATAGACATGTGCCATGATGTTTTGTGATTAAAACACTTGTTTTCCATTATGGCTCTCTCATCCTTCAATTTGACAATATGAGACATATCAATATGGAATGAAATTATATTACTCAGGCTTGCTGTTACTAAGGAAGGGTGAATATATTCTAGAGAATCATTCTAGTTACTCTAAATGATTGCCTAAGTGTATGAGCCCCTTTATGAAGGAATTACATTCACACATTTTTCTAAGAAAAATAAGAAAGGTAAAGGTTAGGTAAAGGTTCCCCTTGACATTTAGTCCGGTCATGTCTGACTCTAGAGCGCGCTGCTCATCCCCGTCTCCAAGCTGTAGAGCCACAGTTTGTCCGTAGACAGTTTCCGTGATCACGTGGCCAGCGCGACTAGATACAGAACACCGTTACTGTCCCACCATGGTGGTACCTATTTATCTACTCGCATTTACATGCCTTTGAACTGCTAGGTTGGCAGGAGCTGGGATAAGCAACGGGAGCTCACTCCGTTGTATGGATTCGATCTTATGACAGCTGGTCTTCTGACCTTGCAGCACAGAGGCTTCTACAGTTTAACCTGCAGCGCCACCATGTCCCTAAAAGGAAAATAAGAAAGCCTGTGTTTATTTGAGAAATACACTTGGGATTGGAAAGGTGACAGAAGTCCTAATTCTAGCTAACTTCCTGGGAGATGTCAGGAGTCATGACTACCCCTTTCACCTCTGGAAAACAAGATCTTGCTTCCTTGGAAGGACAAATAAAGGTGTGAGAAGGAAGGAAGTGATATCAACAACCCTCAGAACAGCAATCTAAAAACAAAGGAAGATCAGCACAGTGAAAGCAGATAAAGGAGAGGCTAGGTTTTCCCTCTACTCTTCCTCATGCCTCTTTTTGAGTGTAAGCCAAGTTGTAGCCAATCACATCCAATAGGACTCTAAGAGGTGCCAATGGTTACCTGAACAGAAGAGTTATGAGGTTCATCGAAGGTTTCATTCAAATCATGTGATAAAGGAATTCATTGCATATTTGTACTTTTTTGGTACCTGTTGAACTTTGCTTCCACAAGTATCTCCTTATTTTGCTTTTAAGGGAAAGTGTCTGCCATGCTCCTTCTCATCCAGCTGCCCTCCTGGAACAAAGCCAATGGTAAATATTTTAAACCTGCCAATTTTTTATATGCAACAACTCAAACATGCTCTGTATCAGGTCTTTAGACAAGACCCAGACAGTAAATCTGGCGTATCTTGAAAGGGTAGCAAATTGTAAGCTATTTTATCTGTTGTTACCTGCATAGTAGGTGGGAAAGAAGTGTAGCCTTTCAGACATTGCTGAATTGAATTCTTATCATCTGCCACCACTGGCTGTGCTCAATAGGATTCAAACCAGCAACATCTAAAGGACCATTGTGTAAATGGCTCTGAAAGAAGCAGAACTTGTTGCATCACATACATGCTTCTCATGGCAAGTAACTGAAACCCCCCACCTATTGTTAACCAGAATGTTGTCCAGACAAATACCATGCTATTTAACCATTAAGTCTGAAGGCAATTCAGATACATTTGATTTGCATTTTCAGTGGAAAATGTTTCAAAGGTTGTTTACTAACTGGAAATGTAACTGAAAGCAGTGTTAAAATTTAATGTAATATTTTGAGTGCAAAAACAACTGGTCTATTAAGGAGGTTCTGGTCTTCTTCTTGTACAGCCAGGCAAAAGAGAGATCTGCTATTATATCCACTACTATAGTGTGTCCATTCGCTCTGGATGTCAACCCAAATGTGTTAAAACCATCATTGTGAGTATTGTTTCTCAGCTGAAACCAAAGTCCTTACTTTTGTGTCTGTATCTCACTAACATGGTATTAGCAAAGAGCCTCAAAGAATCAGAACACTGAGAACTGCTTGCTATATCCGTCCGTAAATGTAACTGCAACAAAATGTTGCCATACGATGTGCTGTTCTGAATTTCAGCCACTCCATTCCATTCTCCCTCTTTGTCTCTGCCCAAAAGTTAGCATGCCATAGCCAATGAATACTCTCGGTCCTTAAAGGGTTGATCTAGATTATTGGCAGTATTTATCTAAAAGTTGGGGGGGAGGTTGTACTTCTGGTCACCTTATCTCCCTCTTGTGTGGGTGGGTGAAAGTATGGGCGGTGACAAAAGCTCAGAAAACTTATTTTTCAGGATTATATTTCCTAGAAACCCCAAACCAGTATAGCCAATATGCATACTGCCTAAGGGATTTTTGGAAATAGTAGCCCATAAATATTACCTTTCTGAGCTCTGGTCTAGATAGGCCACTATTCTCAAAGCCTGGCTATCAGAAAGAGAGAATGTCAGCAGTGAAGTTAGTGTGTACTATAGATATAGATGTACCAGCTTTAAGTCTCAGCACTGTTTCTGATGCTTGCTTTTTCTAGTTATATGTTTTCATGTGTAATTCATCTTTTTGCCTTGTAACATTTATTTCTTTTCAGACCAGAGAATGTTGTGCAGGTTTCTATGGCTCACAGTGCGAGCCTTGTCCAGGATTGGTTGGAAACAGTTGCTTTGGCAATGGGATATGCTTGGATGGTATCAATGGCACTGGTTCCTGTGAGTGTGAAGCAGGATTCCAGGGAGTGGCCTGTGAAATGTGTATCCCAGGCAAATATGGCATCAACTGTGATCAAGGTACGTATTTCAGGTTCCAGGCTAGTTTTCCCCCTTGTGATAGCCAGGCATTAAAAGTGATAGCCAGGCATTAACCATAGCCAGAAGTGTGACAAATTATGCCATATCAAGACATTAATTTCTGTTTTTAAACCCATTAAAAAAAGGGGGGGTTGCTTGGTGAACATTTAAAAAGGGTACATATTGCACAGACATTTTGAAATGGTTACCGTATATTAAAACATATTATATGAAATGATTAAAGAAGTACAGCTCCAGTTCCAGAAGCAGTGGCGTAATTTCTACTAGGGATTGTTGTTGAAACTCTGTGTGTTTGAATGGTGGTCCTGCTGCAGGTTTCCCAAGTAGATTGCCTCCAGGTGTTTTAGAATGGAAACCCCTATTATCCCTGGCCATTGGCCATGCTGGCTGAAACCAATGAGCATTGTATTTCTACATATTTAGAGGGTACCAGGTTGGGGGGAGGTGTTCTCCTCCATGAAAAACCAGAGCACAGAATGTACCATATGTGACTTGTCATAGTGCACAGTTCTGGGAGTCTTCAGAGCTTACTCTGTCCTGAGCAATTCACTGAACTCACAAAGATCTATGGGTCTCCAGTGAGATGCTACAAATCTGAACATCTATGTCCTTTATCCTATTGCTAGTCTTAACTAGAGAGCAGGTCCTCTATATCAGTTACTAAATATTAAGTCAACATTTCTTTAAATACCACTCAGTCAATGGATCTATTTGGGATTACTAGTAGAATACTGGTCTATGTTTTATAGTTAAATATAATGTGTAAATCATCTTTTAAAATATTTAACACTTCTCAGTGCATTGATAAACAATAAAGAATATAACATTGGAACGTAACCCTGCATTTAGCATTTTAAAAAGTTATTTTACTAATACGTATGAGGTATTGGTGCTTTAATCACATCTCTTCATTTAGTATGTGCTTGTGTGCATGGGAAATGCAACAGCGGCATTAAAGGAGATGGCACTTGTGAATGTGATGTGGGCTGGACAGGTGTGAACTGCGAACAGGGTAAGTGTAGCTTCTGTTCTGTTGATGTCATAGGTCTAGAATTCAGGGCTCAGAATAATTGTAGTACAGTCACCAAGACTGCAGAGGCAGCTTCTCCTTTAAAAGAGCCATTGTTCTGTGAAAAGCATGCCTCTATGTCCAACAAAGTACATATAGGAGAGAGAGAGAAATGTTTTTCAACTTCTCACTTCTTTGGGCAAGGTGCTGAATGTGACCCTGAACATATTCTTCCATATGTTCACAATGAGAAATACAAGCATTGACTTCTTGATGAGGGTCAATTCATGTCTGAGATGTATACCATTGGACATGAGCCAACTGGCATAAGTAGTAGGATTCTGCACAGTGATTCACACAGTCTAGTGATTCCATGTACTGTATATATCATACATAAAAAAGCAATCTGAAGCAATCTTAGATGGCAACATATCTAGAGAAACACACAGTCTGGCATAAGTAGTAGGATTCTGCTACTAGTGATTCCATGTATATATCATACATAAAAAAGCAATCTGAAGCAATCTTAGATGGCAACATATCTAGAGAAACACACAATCAGAGGAAACACATTTCTGCACAGCTACTGCTATTTAATATTTATGTAGCAAAGCCAGGTGTGCTGGGTTTAATACATAACACAAATCATAGAATCTCCACAGTAAAAATAACATCTTCACATATATGGCACAATTATATGCCAGTTACACCATGCTCTTGTAAAAAATCAAAATGAAAGCATGTAGAGGAGATGTTTTCTCTTTTAATCTTCTTCATGATGTGTGGTGGGGTGGAGAGGTATTCACATATATGAGTTCTCTCAGGTCTTAAGTGGTATAATTGAGGAATAGCTGGACACATGAATGAGTTCTTCGAGAGGCAAGATAATGTGAAAAAGAAAGGGTATCAGTCCTTGATATTACTCTGGGTTAACAAAGTAATGTTTCCTTCTTTTCTCACCAGAAATCAAAGATGATGAATGCAACAGGACTTGTCACACTAGCGCCAAGTAAGTACTACATCAAACTACAAGATCAAAAGAGTTAGGTGCCATTCAGACAGCACTAATTTTTTGGTTCAGCACTTTATTTGTTTTATGGTTTGCTTGTTAGGTGTTACCTACTGGAACATAACGCTCAAAGCTTTTAGGACACAGTGGCTCATGTACTAAAAGGTTAAAAAATTTCTATTGCTTTCTTACTATACATGGGAAAAAAATCTTGAAGCTAACTGATGAGATGCTAGAGGCTTGTTCTTGTCAGTTAGCCATGGTGGGATGAAATCTTAAAACTAACTGATGAGATGCTAGAGGCTTGTCCTTGTCAATTCAATTCGGTAACCTTTAATGGCATAGGAAACTTTAAAAAAAACTTGTACTGGGAAATTAATAGCAAATAGAGATACTCTCCCGTTTGACTTCCATGTGTGGTAAAAGCAATAGGATACTGGCTATACAATTGAAAAACAAAAAGTGAAACAAACAAATTATAACAGAATAAAGTTACCTAAAACACAGATTAGTCAATGGCAGAATAAAATGTAAAAGTAAACAAACCAGTGATAAATAATTACACAAGCCAAATTAATATTCCTCCTCACATCCAAAATGTGGTCTAATCAAAGCAAGTGCAACAGATTCCCAAAGTTTTTTGTGGGGTGATGTGGTAATTTATACAGCTCTGCTTAATTAGTGCAAAATGCTAAGTGTTATGGGGACATGTGGGGAATAAAGAAATGTGGGATGGAATGGAGTGTCTCAGCTCCTGAACAGAGCATTCCAGTTTGCAACATTTTGTTGCAGGTCCCACTTGTTGTCGTTATTTCTTCATCTTTCTCTCTCTTTTTAACCAGTTGCGAGGTTATATATCTGCTTAATGAGTCCACTGACTTTTTGGAAGAATAAAGTACAGATGAGCAGTGGTGACACTGTAAAAATTAATTTGATTAAATGTATGTTCCTTTCCTTCTTTTTCCATCACAGTTGCCTTCCCAATCCTGGAGGCACAGCTTATTGCAAATGTGCAGCTGGATTTAAGGGGAACGGAACCTACTGTACAGGCAAGTGGACTTTCTTCTCTTCTGGCTGAAAGAACATGCTTGCTTTGCTTGATTCGCAAGGAATGGCTGTGGCAGAAGTTGGGACCCATATATTTTCATGTCTTGATTTGAAATTTGGAATAAATTACAATTTATTTAAAATGAGCAGTTCGTACAGATACAGAAATGAAAAAAATGAAGTATTTAATTGTGTTTTGGGCCAACTTGTCTGGGTCCAGACAGTAAAGAGCAAAGATGATTCTGTTGTCAGGTCAGAGGGGTAGAAAGCTCACAAATATTTGATAGGAGAAACAGAAAGTGAAAAGTGACCACCTAGATTTAATTAGGTTTCACTTGCCAGCAAGTTTTTCAGGACCATGGACAGAGCCCAAGGATCAGAAAGGAGATACAGTAACCTCGGTCAAGGAGACCTTCTCAACTCAGGCTTTTAATGTTCTCTCATCTTGATGGTCCCAGTTGTTGGCTGGGTGCCAACTCCAAACTAAGGGTCTCTTATCAGGCAGCATCAAATCCTCCTCTTTAACAAGCAGAATAAAGACCCAGAGGGTTTAGGAAAAACACAAAGAGAGTGATAAGAAACTTATGGCATGATATATATAGTGATACTGTATATATATATCACTATAGACCATGCAGCTGAACATGGTTAACAAGCACTACCTAAACTTGCTCCAGCTGTATGTCATCAGTCAACCATTTCACTTTGACTTTTGCAGGTGTGACTTTACATATGTCATCCATTTTACATTCTCTCTACAATATTAAATTTAACCCCTTGTTCACATGTTAGGAACAAATCCTGACACCAGTTTCTATCCCAAGAATGGGGAACCTCCTGGGGTCCCAATCCATTCTGCTGATCTTGCCATCGATAGCTTCTTCCTAGACAGACCACCTTTCCAGCACTGATGACTATGTTATTAGAGTGCTCCGGAGCAGCCAAGAGGGTATCTCTTATTTAATTAGTTCCTATATAGAAACATCAGCCAGCAATGTATCTGTAATACAGTGAACAACAGAAATAGTTTAACACCATAGAGTAACACCTATTTTAGATGTACACATTAAAATTAGATGTGTGCAAGGAACACACATGCTTTAATATATATATGTGTTTGTGTACCATATAAATATGCCTATTAGGCATGTTGGGTTGCATTTTTCTGTCAAGTGTGTTTTAAACAAGTCAAGGTTTGCTACTGCTTACTGTGCAAGATTACCCTAAGCAATTCGATGATGGCAGATGTTTTGTGTCCTTCTGCAGCTATAAATCCATGTGAAACAAGCAATGGAGGTTGTTCTGCCAAAGCAGAATGCAGACGTACTACACCAGGAAACAGAGTGTGTGTCTGCAAAGCAGGTTACACTGGAGATGGAATTGTCTGCTTTGGTAAGTATCCACTATATGCACACAGACTTTGTGAAATGGAGAAACAACCAGCCATGTTGATTTTTTTAGAGATGTCTGCAATCTGCACATTCTGTGTTTTGTATGTACAGTACATTTTGTATATATACAGTAGTGCAATTAAGCACAAACAGCAAGAAAGTGGTAGCTTTTTATTAGCAACACATCTTAGACTCAGTTTCACAAGACATGGGAAAGTATTTATCTTTTTTTTTTTTCTGTTTTGTTTGACCACATAAAGAAATCAATCCCTGCTTGGAGAATAATGGTGGATGCAATAAAAATGCAGAGTGCACTCATATTGGACCCAACCAAGTAAGCAATGTTCTTTTCTCATATTAATTCAGATACCAGATATGATTTATTTTATTTATTAAATTTATACCCCACCCATCTAGACCAAAGTCTACTCTGAGCGGCTAACAATAAAAAATAGAATAAAAACAATATAGTAAAATAAAAAAACAACAATAGTAATATGGTTCAAGATGGGGGAAAAATAAAAATATTCAAGTGGTGACAGGAGGGAAAGTATGCCCAAAGAGCCAGGTCTTAAGTTTGCTTTTAAAAACACCGAGCGAGGGAGACAGATCTCCGGGGGCAATCTGTTCCAAAGTCGAGGGGCCACTGCCAAGAAGGTCCGGTTTCTTGTTCTTTCTCTCTGGCCCTCCCTCGGTGTTAGGCCCCTCAGCCACTCTTCCTGGCTAGAACGAGTGATTGTTTCATTTATATGCTGCCTTTTTACCAGAACTGGGACCCAATGTGGCTTACAGAACACTTGAAAACAATAAATTGCTGCCACACCAAGGGAGGCCAAGAAAACATCTACCAGAAGCTGGGCCTTCTCGGTTGTGGCACCAGGTCTTTACAACCAACTCCTGGTCAAGCTGTACCTGGCCCGTTCTCTGCCTACATTTAAAATATTGCTCAAAATGTTGCATTTTACAGAGCTCAAGGGGAACCTTGCATGAATTTACCTTTGCCCTGCCCGCCCTATTATGGGCTTGTGTAGTGGCACCCTGGTCTTTTATTGCTTTAGTTGATTTGATGTGCTTTATTTTATTTTGTTACTGTTCATTTCTTGTTTTATTGTCTAATTTACTGATTGCTAAACACCTAGAATAGTGCTTTACACTAGTGGGGCAGTATAAAAATCTAACAAACAAACAAACAAAATGCAGTAAAATTATAACATATTAGCTATGTGATCTGTGATTAAAGGATGCTGCCTTAAACATCAACTCTTTCAGAGCATAATAAAGTTACTTTTTTTGACTGAAATTTCCAGAAACTTCCAGCCATCATTGTCACTGACCAAGCCAGCTGATCCATCCAAAAATCTGTGGGTCCTTAAGCCTATCACAGTCTTTTCCGTCTGTGGCCAGATCTTTTGGCTAGGATCTAGGGCTGATTTCTTTCTCACCATCTTCTATTGTCATATTCCTCCAGCTTCAGCTAGAAATGTCGGGGATTGAAATGGGATGATACACACTGATAAATGCTATACCATTAAGTTGTGGCAGGAGATGTCCTTTGCAATATCTTGTTTCAATTGCAACATTTGGGAAGTCATCTCGTAGTTCAGTAGTAAAGCCACTGAGGCTCTGGGAAACCTGTTCCTCAGGAACTCATTTGTACATGGAGATAATAGTGTTGAACATCCTGGCAAGGATTACTGAAATAATGTAAGTCAGGCTACAGGGGAAAAGATATATCAGGAATTACTGGTAGATCTCTGAGTGACTTGCAGTAGATCACCAAGGCTTTCTGACTTCCAGCAATAAGAATAACAACAATAATAACCAGTGTCTGAAATGCTATTCATTTAACTTTATGCAGTAGAAACTGATTATGTCATCAGCTTGTACTGCTAAAATGTATTTTAAATTACTTAAATGCTTCCTATCCCCCATTCATTTCGGAGGTGCTCTAGAGCTGCCTTGTGGAAGTCTTTGGCAGCCTCGGGGGGGGGGATCTTTAATCACCAAAAATGACTGCTGAATTGCTGCTGCTGGGATTGGGACTGCTTGTGGCTGATTCTCCCTCCCTCCCCAGCCTAAGCTCCCAAAGGCTTCCCCAGGGCAAAAAGGAACTTTGGAACCTAAAACGGGCGGAGATAGGATTAATTTAAAATAAATGCTAGTGGCACAAGCTGATGACATCAACAGCTTCCTCGGCATAAAGTTACATAAATATGTTTTTGGCTTCTTCCTGGTAGGCTGGTGAAACAAGGTGGGTGGGGATACAGGAATTGGTGCAAGAAAGCTGAGAGCTCAGGTTTGGTAATGAAAGCAAATATGGTGGCAGAGCACATGCTTAGAGGTACCCTTTGCCCTTCTTTAATTTTAAGTATAGGTCTGCCCCACTGAGTTACTACACAAATGTTTTGGCTCCCATTGATGATTTTCTGGAATCTAATTTAAAAAGGAAGAAACATCCATCCTGAGCTCTGATCATTCTTAAAATATGTGAAGTGCTTTGAGCATATATATAGGTTTTCTACTGAATTATTTGAGTATCACTTGAAGATATAGTATCTTTTTGTAGTATGTTTCCCCACTAAGTTCAAAGACAGGGAAGAAAAGGAATATTATATTATGAAGTCCAAAATGGTACATTTAAAAAAAAAGGCTCACAGCTCATATTTTTGAAGATTCTAACTTATAACTTCATGGCCTGAATAAAAGTAAGTTGCCTGGGTAACCAGGTCTTTATTTGCATTCCAAGCGAGTGATACGACTGGAGCGACAAATGAAAATATAACCTGAAAGGTTGTTATTGCAGCATTTTTTTTAAAAAAAGAACTTCAATATGATAAAGTAGTTTGTACAATCTCAGCTCTAAAACTAAATCAGTGGTTGGTTAGAAGAAGAGAAAATGGGAGCAGTAATGTAATATGTCTAACAGAAGGATACAATGGTATGAAAGGCCACAGAAAGATCAGGATTATGCTCCCTTGTCTGCCTCTCTCAGGAGATCACCTTGCAGGGCAACCGATGCCATTTTTGTCCCATGGCATAGCCTGAACTCTGATTGAAATGGATCTAGACTATCCATTTCCTACAAGAATGCCTGCAACTGGCCAGCCACCACCTTTTTAGTCAACTTCAGAGGTGGGATTCAGCAGGTTCTCACCTATTCTATAGAACCGCTTCCTAAATGTACTATTGGTTCTTAGAACCGTTTGTTGGCCTGAGATGAATGAAGGAGGAGGGGCCAGGTGACCAGCGACGAGCGAGGGGGAGGGGCACAATTAACTGCCTCCCTTCCCACTCCACACTGAGCCGTCTGAGGTGGGATATGGGTGAGAGAGATAAAGCCCTGGAAAGAGCAGAGGTGTCACTGGGGGAAAAGGGGGGAGGATGAGTCCTTGATGTCACTGGAGGAAAGCCCATGGCCATGAGGCAGCGGGGGGGTGTGATTGACAAGGCATGAGGGCAGGACACAGAGGGGAAAAGTTTTGGGGCAAGACCGCTTCAATCAAACAAACAACCATCCTCGTTTTACTATGATTTTTTTCAAGTTAAAGGTACCACGTAAGACTGTTGCTCTGCCTAGAAACAGTTTTTTTTAAATCCCAGAGAATATCCAATGCATGAACCAGTGACAGTCTCACTGATCCACGCAAGCAAGGTATGCAATAGAAAAGTCACTCACACCACAAAGAGATGAAACCTCCAAGCCTCATTTAGAGTAACAAAGAACTCTTCCTCCTGCCCCAAAACTGACAATTTCGGGAGACAAATGGCACACAGAGATGGCCTACTCTGTTAGAAGGAGGAAGACAGCTATCAGTATTTTAACACTAGTAAGACTTACTATTCTTGAAGGCCATATATCCAGGGCCAAGAAAGGAAAACACATAAACATATCAATAGATAAGGGGAATTGAA